CCGCATGAATAGCTTACCTTGTTTTCGGGATAGAGGGCCAGCTTTCCCCCCTCATTGTCTGCTGTTATCATTTTCGGAGCAGTGACTAAGCGGAACTGGTGGACAGTGGTCGGGGAATGTGTTCGGTGCTAGTGGAGGACTCTCCTCTCGCCTCTCACACGTCGATCAAGTCTGCTCCTTGTTTGGCACTAAGCTCAACTAAACGCCGGTTGGATTATCTATGCATCGTCCGGTAGGTATACTCTACTTCTTGAATAGGTTCCTATTATTCCTTTTGGTATTAGAAACACTATAGGTCGAGCTAGCGCAGGTATACTGCCAGCCCTGCGGTGGTGTGTTGACTACGCAATTAGGCTCACGACGTCGTATCAGCTTTCCTTGTTGTCATGCAAGTTGTCGAAAGCTCTCAGTATAGTTCACGCGACTACCTCAGTGGGTACAAAAGCTGTCATTTCGGTCGATCGGGGGGAGTTCCGTTGTTCTACGGGCATTTCTCCGAAAAATGCTGATTGCAAAAGTTAGCGTTCTTTATAAAAACAGGTGACAAGAATGATATAGGTAAATACAGGCCAATCTCACTTTTAACAGTGTTTTCTAAGGGCGTCGAAAAAAAATTATTTTCGCGTATGATAAAGTTCGCAGATAAACACTGTTTAATCACTATCACAGTTTGGGTTGCGCAAACACCGTTCTATAGATCTTGCACTTTTAGAGCAAAAAGAATACATTCTGAAAAGCTTTCAAGAAAAAAATGGCTCTTGGTATTTTTATTGAGTTGAGCAAAGCATTTGATCACTTAAATTGCAATCTGCTACTAAAACAAATTACAAATGTACGGATTTCGCGGACATGCATCAACGCGGATCTTATCTTGCACATCGCAAACAATGCTGTAATAGAAATGGTTATTCATCCGATATTAAACCCATTCTATCTGGCGTTCCACAAGGAAGCATATTAGGTCCCCTTCTTTTAGAGCGCAGATCATAGGGGCCCGTTTCCGGCTTGAGCCGCGTCGCCGTCGGCGTAACCGCGCGGTGCATTATGGGAAATGTCCCATAATGTACCGCGCGAGCCCCCCCCCCCCCCACCCCCGGGTCACGTGACCTGGGGGGTCACGTGACCTCGGGGGGGGGGGAGGCGGGGGAAGGGGGTTACGTGACCGTGACCCCCCTCCCCTTTATCCGAGGTCACGTGACCCCCGATGACGTCACCGGCATCCGTATCGTCACTGATAACGTCATCAGTGACGTCGCTGATGACGTCATCGGCATCGTCATCGTCAAGTGACCCCAAGTTAACGTGAACCCCCCCCCCGACGTCACGTGGCCCCCCAAGGTCACGTGACCCACCCCCTTTAGTACCCTACCCTCCTCAAGAGCTGCGCTCTAATTCGGCGTTACAGGGAGTTGTAAACGGCTTTCACTTATTTAATTTATACGTCAACGATATGTCAAATATAAATAAAAGCATTAAATACGTAATTTACGCTCATGATAGTTTATTTTTTACCGGTAACTGCTGTAGGAACTAGCACTTAAGGCAACTCAAACGTTGAAAGACCTAGCTACTTGTAGCCAATGTAATGCTTTAAATATCAGTGATAACAAAACAAAAGCAATTTTATATGGCCAAAAATAACAATGATAATAGAACTAGTGATTGTTTTAAATGAAACCAAAATAGAGATTCTATCTAGTTTTAAGACACTTGGCATCATATTCACGGATAGAATGAGTTGAGATGAACACGTAAATTATATTTCGGTAAAATTGCCACGAGTCGCTGGCTTAATGTATCGTCATCGCCATATTCTCCCAACAAATGTGAAATTAATTATTTATAATTCATTATTTCTCTCCTACATCCATTACTCCCTAGTCTTGGGTAACACTAAAAATACAAATTTAAACAAAATACTTGTAATACAAAAGAAGATATTGCCAATTAGTTGTAACGTCTCATACGATCACCTTAATGAACCTCTCTTTAAAAGCTTAAATTTGATGTCTAAATAGATTATATAGATATCGTTTACGCGTGACCTATAAACGAGAAGTACAAACAAATCTTCATACCCTTAGTGAATTGGCGTCTCTCTCGCCAAGAGCAGCAACATGTCCTACTCGAAATACGGAAATTTGGACGCTCTCTATTTGCAAAAACTATCTACGGTGAAGAAATGTTAAGATATGCACTTTCTCGAGTGCTTAATTTTCGTGTTACCAGATCTGTAAAAAATCTCCGAGCATTTTTTTTCTTCAAGGTGACTGCTTAGTTTGACATATTTCATAACTTCAATCTTCGCTGTGTTGGATAATGCTGTGCTTGCATGTACTTGTGCACTTCATTTTTGTTATACTCATACAGTCGCACCTTTTTTGAAATATTGTCCTGTCGTCATATCTGGAAGTGTTAGCTTTTCTCTGGGTTTTCTTTTTTGATAACTTGTTGTGCCACTGCTGCCATATGTAAGGAGGGGCCGAGGGCCCGTCAAGCTGCATGATGCAGCTTTTTTCCTCGGTCTTACTCCGTCATACCCGTTTTGACGGAAATTATAATAATAATAATTATTATTATTATTAGAATAACAAGACAGCGCAGCGACGAACCTTTGACACCCTGACTAACAAACAAACTAGCTTACCCGAACCAGACCACCGGTGCGAATCCCTTCAAGAGAGTCCATTCCTTTCGCGGCGGATTCAAGTGAGGCACATGAACATTACGTTTCTTCTTTGATTTGTCTGCTATACAACCCTAGTACTACAGACACTACAGCGCCTAAAACGCCCCAGCACCGACAGATGCCATCTTGTTTAGAAAGCCACCGACGCCATGTCAGCGTCGCGTTGCAATTGGTCGTCACTTCGCGGTTTGCGAAAGCGGTTGGAAGAAATCGGTCCCGTAGCGGCTGGCAAAAACGCGCCCTAACTGCTCGATCTCCCCCCCCCCCCCCTCCCCCCCCCCCCCCCCAACCCCTTGCGGGCACACGCCTTTTTTTTATGAAATGACATAAATATTTTTTTTTTCGAATGAAAAAAAAAAAAAAGATTTTTGCGGAGCTGTAGAAAACGAGGTCAATCTTTCTATGTACAGTTTCTGTAAAATGTCCGTTTTTTTTGTTTTTTTTTCGAGCTGGGACTGGGAGTGGGAAGCCCCAGGGAAGCACAGTGCGTGGCAAAGGCCATTCAGGGCGAAGTTTGAGGAAGCAGAATGTAGCTTTGTGAGTCCTTCGTTCAAACTAGCCCCCTCACTCACACACACACAGAAATAAAAAAAATAAAACGATCCTGCTTAGGGTACCTACTTGCAGCCCGTAGGAGAACCAGAACCGAAGAATGCCTAAAGCGGATGCAAAATATAACAAAGGCAGTTCAAATATTTCTCCATTTTCCCTACGTGGTCTTTGTGACAAGCAATGTTTCGAGTTGAGAAGTGGTCGGGGCGATCTCTTCTGCTAATTAATACTATACATGATCCGTTTCAAATCCTGGAGCTGCTGCTCGTTTGTATAACATGCGAGCTCATCCACATGTGAATAATAAAATGAGCGACGCAAACTTTGAGATCTAGAACCCACGAAGAGGGAGCCAGTTTTTCTTCTTCAATACTTGTGCAAATGTGAAATATAGGTTATAAGTAGTTCATTGTTATGAGCGCTAAACATGTGTCTTCACACAATAAAGTAATCGGAAAAGTAACGATTACTTCTTTAAGTAATGTCCAATTACTTTTGGCGTCGAGTAATCAAGTAATCTAATCGAATACTTTTTAGTCAAGAGTAATAGTAATTGTAATCGATTACTTTTTTTTTAGTAACGTGTACAAGACTGCACTAAACTGATCGCATAAATCGGTTTCTTCACTTATTGCGCTGGGATTTACTACAAAGGTGCCTGAAGTTGTGGAACCTTTCGCTAAAATTTTTTAAAGATTGGCTCACCTGAGTAAATAAAAAAAAATAAAAAAACTATGTTTTCTCCATACTTTGCATGTACAGCTGCAACGGAAAAAGAGTAGCACAAGTGAACGATGACCGGAGCGGCAAAATCGCGACAGGCGGCGCTATTGCTCCCGAGCGCGCCGATAGCAAGAGTGCCCAGTCACGTTCCATATCTGAACGCGGGGGTGGCCGGCTGAAAGCAGCCCATCCTAAAGCCCGCATTTTAAAAACTATCTTATCCTTCAATTTTCTGCCGGCAACCCCCGCGTTAAGACATCCAACGTGACTGGCAATTCTCGCTATCGGCGCGCTCGGGAACAATAGCGCCGCGTGTCGCGATTTGGCCGCTCCGGTCGTCGGTCACTTGTGCTACTCTTTTTCCGTTACAGCTGTACACACACCAAAAACGATACGTTACCCTGATGCTTATTTGGCCCGAATGAAGAATCGGTAAACCAATACTATTTTCTTTCTAGTTCACAAATTTTTCAATCGTAGTAAACGCCAGATTAGCCCACAACGATTTTCTGATGATTGAGATAAAAGGCTTAGCGATACTTTTTTCCCGTAGATAAAACAACTTTTTTATTTTCTTTTGGCTCCGGAGGTTTCATGTATTCATACTCTCAATAAATGCACCAGCGTCGCGCAATCGATTTATGCGGTCAGTTCAAAGTGCGCTCAATCCATTTCGTCCACGCTGTAGTATCATGTGACTCCTCTCCATAGGAGCAGCGCGCTTCCGTATACACTATCAACATTATGCATGTTGTGTACCTCGCTCTAATGCACCGGTTGTCTCGCCGAGGCCATAGCTTTCCTTCTTTGCCCAGTTACGCTAAAGTGGAGTATAGTTTAGGTTTTTGAAACGGTTGCGCAACGCAGACATTAAAAAAGGGAAGGTTATCTAGCTTATGATTCACGCCCTTGTAAAGCAAAAACATGGCCGCGCAGCTACCTTGAAATCGCTGTACGAATGAACTCTGAAGCAATAACAAGGCTAAGATCACGACCATCGGTGCACGTAATTACCGGATATCTTTCAGCTACTTACCCTTTTATCGAGCCTTTCGCCACCACTAATTGACTGCTGGTACACTCTGCAAGCTATGCCTTCGTGTATGGCGTGACAGCTGTGGCAGTTCACCTTCCGACAAGTATTACATGTCGCCAGCTTTTTGTTGCCAGTCTGGCCATTGCAGCCCGGACTCAAACATTTCTGCATGGTTGTACTACGTCTGAGATAAAAGAGAAAAAAGAAGACATCAAGCTACGCCATTTGCAAAGAGAATGCCATTTCCGTTTCTACAAGGTGCGGGCTCATTATTTGGGAAGCACGCCGTGAAAAAGAAGCCCAGTTTTGAGATCTAAAGAAATGTCCGTCACGCTCGTAAGACGGCCGACCGCTCGAGAGAACATGAGTTCACTTACCGAGAAGAGCCACAGCCCGTTTCTGACGACGTCAAACTGCTGCCCACCGACTCCGAGGCTTATCGCTCGACTTCGGCTGGTTTCCATAGCACCGCGAGATAAGCGCGGCATCCCGGCTGTCGACAGTCTCGCGAGTGTTCCATGTGTTTCCTATGAGACAAGCCATCCGTTTTACTACCGTTATTGCAGATCGCGCTGATTTTTAATTGCAGCATTTTTTTTATCTAGTTCGATGCCACGTAAACTTATCAAAACATAGACAGTGAGAGACTTTGTATCCGCGGTGTTTAACAAAATAAAAAAACAACTAAAAATTGTCTTTTTGCGTATCCGAAGCCACGTGTGTGGCTGCGCCTTGACAGCCCCTGGTTGTTTCCTTGCACTAATCTTCCGATAGTATGTGATAAATGGATCCGATTGTCTCGTCCGATTCATCCGGCACCGCTGCACTCCAGGCTTGCTCGCTCGACTGCGAACGCAATTCAGCTGCGTTGTAATACTGAGCGACCGCGCTATGTTGAACGCCAAAAACAGGCCTCGTGTCGCAATTTCGGGGACGCAAAATGAGGATAATTTTGGAAGCGATTCCTTGTCACGACTCACTTCTCACGACTCACGACTCAGTGGATTCAGAGAGATACAAAAATGTCACTGATAAGCGGCACACAACAAATACTTTACGTGAACGATTTAGTTTAGTGCGTAATATATTCGGTCAAGCTCGTCGACTCCGCGGGGAGTAGCTGCAGCTGTCAAGGCGACTATATATTGAGCTTATTAATTTCAGATAGGCGAGTGTAATGAGAGACTGCCTCAGGCAAAGGCACGAATCACAACTCCTGTATAGGCACCGCGCGTTGCGAATGAAATCCTAGAGTGGGCAACACGGCCGTACACGATAACGCCCAGTTGAAAATTAAGAATCCGAATTTTTTCTTTGATTCAATTAGGGCTGACATTTGATGCGATATTGCTAACCGAGACGTGGCCCACTGATGAAACAAAGGTATTTCGCCTCCTATCCTATAATACCTATTATTCAAATCGCACTATACTAGCCGCGGTGACGGGGTATGCATTTTAGTCGAAAGGGAATTTAACGGCGAAATATTAAGACTTTTTTGTAAGCATGAGTGATTGTAAACTTTTGTAGATAAAAATAGAAAAAAAAAAAGAGAAATCGCCGTTTGCACTATCTCTCCACGCGGCGCGGTGCTGCCGGGGCCGAGGTGCGCTCCGATAACAAACCGAAACTTTAAAACCCGTCGAATTTGTGTGGTTTTTCAGAAAGCTGTAAAATGCTTCGCGTGCCTTCTATCGTTCTGCAATTTGTTGGTTTAGTGGTTTTTGGATGACGCTGAGCAATTTTCCAATTTAAACCATGCCCTTAAACACAATATTAAAAAAGTTAATTAGGCAAAAATAATTAACAAGTTCATTATCCCGGACTTTAATAATTTTCTTAAATGGACCCCTGGCCCAGGACCAAAACGCCACAAGCCTTTTTTCGTTGCGATGAGTAGTTTTCGCAGGAGCGATTTGGCCTGCGTTCTCTGAAACACGCTGTATATAAGAACTCCACAGCCAAATAATTAAATGTAAAGACCCAAAAATATTCGTCGAGTTTAAAACCAATCGTAACCGTCTAGATAAAGATCTGAAAAACCGGGACGCGATTACTTCGCAAATCAGATTATTTTTGAGGCCGGCTGTTCTGAGCTTATGTGAAAAAAAAAAAAAAAAAAAAAAAAAATTTAAATGCCATATTAAAAAAACAAAAACACAAACACACACAATGTTTCTCTTGATAAAGTTAATAAGATAAATGTAAATAATTTGCGAGTATTTTTTTTTTTTCGAAAGGAGAGGAAAGAGTTGTTTTAAATCTGTATAGTTATTTTGCACGGAAGCATAACCTTTCAACCGAATCGCAATTTGGTTTTCGTAAAGGATTTGGCACAGAATTTGCTCTGCTCACGCAGAACTAATCTTTACTGCACTTGTGAAAGAAAAACTGGTTCTTGGAGTCTTCGTCGATTTCAAGAGGGCGTTCGGTCATATAAATCATAAAATGTTAATATACGAACTTGAACGGCCACGGTTTTCGAGGAAAGGCTGCATCTTTGATTATGTCTTATTTAGGTTAGCATATCCAAACAGTTTGTATGGAAGGTATTATCTCCGATCCACTTCTGTCTCCTGAAGCGTACCAGAAGGCGGCATTCTGGATCCATTTCTCTTTCATATGTACCGGGTGTTTGCTTTTAATTCGAACGGATTTATTACGAAGAATCCGTAAAAGATACGCTAATGCGGTTTGTGCAGGTGAGTTATACGGCCAGGGGGATGTTAGATACGCGGCTAATCTTCGCGGTAAGTGGAATAATTAACTAATATTTCTTAATTAACTTTTCAATTGGTGAAAGTAAACATATAGTTTCAATTAGAAAGTTGCACAGCATCATTGAAAACCATTAAATCAGTCAATTTTAGAGTGAGTTGAAGCACGTGAGAAACGCGGGAGATACAACTCGGGGTACCAGGCGCAAAGCTAGCGGTGGGGAAACGCGGATTAGACTATCATCCGCGTTTCCCCACTGCTAGCTTTACGCCTTCTTCAACTTCGCAACTTTAAAAAATCAACTTGCTCATTTTCTTAACGCACATCGACGTCTCCGTCACCTGTGATATGCTCATGCCCTGACAGCTTTTTGTTTGTAGCCAAATAAATTAATTTCAGCACACTGACTAGCGTCAGCGAGCGGGCGCACGGGAAATCCTGGAGAATCTATCCCCGTCTTTTCCGCCATCTTGCCACCCCGTTCGGAAGCCTAGCTTATTTATTGACTCTACTGTTGACGAAGTGATCTGTCGATGAAACGACGCGCGTCAATGAAACGTGTGACGAACTGATTGTCACCGTGAAAATATTGCGTTCAAACATGTTTTGATAGTATAGCCTATTTATGAATGACATTCAGGTACATATTAATGTATTGCTGTATTATTTGTAAAAAAATTTTTACTTTTCTTAAGTATTCATTAATAGCGTCGAAACAAGAAAGGATATTGTGAGCGCTCGTGGGATTTATTCTCGCGAAAAAAACTTGTCAGCAAGAAAGAGAATATTGTTTTGTTGTGAAAATGGGGCGTTCGCTGGTAAAGTTACGGTGAGAGGAAAATTACATAAATGACAAGGACAGGACGACACAGTTGTGCCGTCCCGACTTCTTAATTTATGTAATTTTCCTCTAACACCGTAATTGGTTTCTTGTTGACAAGCTCGTTTCACTGAAATATATGCTACAGCCGCCCACAATTTTTAGTTGTTTTGACGAAATTAGGCTTAGGTGTGTCCGTTCATAAAAAAAAAGTTCGTTTTTCTCAATTATATTTTGATCCAGGTAACGTCATATTCTAAAAATGTAGCATCTATCCTAACCGCTAGCGTCACATTCTCACTGATCACTCTGTAACGCATAGTTTATTTACCCGAGTCGAAGAACACGGTTCTCTTTTCTCGGGAACTCCCTGCAATTTTCCTATCGCTCAGCGAGGGACTGGATCCAAGTCGCGTAAAAGTCGATGCTTCGACACCGAGGGTCGCCTCATACTTACTATTTCGGCTAGTCATCCGCAAACTAGCATACTCTGAGTGATTCTTTTAACAAACCAAACTGTTTCACTTCCTTTCAGGATCACTTGACAATGGCTAAATAATACGGCCCACACGTGCCAGTCAGTGACGTGAAAGCTCTCAATAAGTACCCTTTGACAGTAAATTGTCATGTCGCTTCACTACTCCAATCGGCTCAAGCTGCTGTACTGTAGCATTTGCCATTTGCCACATTGGAATTGCCGACATTTACGTGATTACATATACATATATTGCTGTCCGGTTCAATGCTCCATTGCTCCTAGCGAGACACTCGTGAAGTCTGTTCTCATCATCTATGTTTTTCGTCGGTTCGGTTCTCAGCTGGTCGGTCGTCAGTCCGGAATAGTTGAAAGTGTAGGCAGTCCTCGTCTCATCATCGGTTGCAGCTGTGATCGTGTCAGTTCTCATGGTCCGGGAATAACCAGGGGATGTAGTTGGGAGAAAGGCAATCGGTAGCAGAGTGTGTTGAGAGGCGGCCAAAACAATATATAAAAGTTCCTGATTGTATTTCTACGACGCTCGTCCGTTGTAACTACCCTTGTGACTTTGACGCTTGTCTCCAGTGGCCATTTCAACTTTTTGAAAGATTATCACCGAGCAATTAACCATACTTATACCGAAAATATATACATTATCTTCAGATGTGTGTGAATTTCAACTCACCTCGTGTCTTCTGCGGCGAGAAATTAATTCGCCACTCTTTGCTTTGTATATTTGTCCATAACATTCACTATTTTGTTCTGGTGTACTGCTGAAACTGACAAGCATATGAAAATCAAAAATAAAGTCTAACAGTGACATTCATTTTTGGGAACAGAAGAGTTTGTGAAACAGGTGAAGGAACTGTTCGAAAAGCTAGATCTACTTACGACTCTACTCATATTTCCACAATGAAAATAAGACGATTTCATCAAGTCACAGGAGCTTGTCAGTGTGACAGGGAAGCATGTACCATTACTTACTGCAGCCCTACTGTTTTAATTACACATCTTGTACTTGTATAGTCTCTCAGTGTGAACTGCCACAGTCACTGTGACACCTTGAGAAGTACAAGATAATGGTTTGTCACCGGTAATTTCTATAAAGAACACGTATACATAAAAAAGGGCAATGAGAGCTGCGGTAAAATTCCACATGTGCTGTTGTGAGGCAACGGGGCTGGCTGACATGATTTGATTGCAGTGCGGTAACATGCTCTATTGCATCTATTGAGAGGCAGTAATCGAGTATGTTCTCGTCTTCTCTGTATTTCGCGGTTTGATTGTCATCTGGTTGGTCACTGCTGATCCGGTCATCGAAGTGCAGGTCGCCCCTTGTCTCATTATCAATTTCAATCCCCATCCTGCCCGAAACGGGCAGGATGGGGATTGAACCTAGTACCCCTGGGTTTTGCAGCGCGAGCTTACGCTCCAAATGCTCCGAGCTTGTGAGCGCTAGCCCACTTG